GCAATTTGGGCGGGGACAGCAGCAACAGGGGACAGGGTATCAAGAGGATTGTTGCCAAAACCAGAGTCAGTATATCAGCATTGAGCATTGATGTCACAGTTAGGGCGGGGCCAGTGTATGTGCCTGCTGCGGCCAAAGCCAGCCGCACCACAAAACATCAGGGCGCCGTCCCCCTCACCACATTTTCCTTGCTGACGCCACCCCTCGCCCCGCAACCGCACGCGTGTGCTTGTGTCCTGAGCCCCGCAGTCAGCGCAGCCACTGGCGTGCCCACAAGGCAGACTGCCGCGCGGCGAGGGGCGGCGCTTGATCCAGAGATCGCAAAGGCGGAGGGTGGGCTGGAGGGGGGCGATCCATCAACGGGTGTGGCCATGTTGGCCACAGTGCACCAGGAGGCGGCGGAGTTTGACGCTGCAATGCATGGCGTTTGATTAGGGCGGGCGAGTAGTAGGGGCTTTTGGATACAGTTGGAATGATGGCGGTCACGCGCTCCTGGTGCCCAGCCGCGGCGCTGCCTGCCTTCATGACCCGCTGCGGTTGTCATGAGAAGTGACTGGCGGTTGGAAACCCCTGGATTATCTGTTGCGTGGAGTAAACGGCAGTCGTAGGCCTTTGAGAGCACAGACTTTCTGCAGGATAAACTGATGTTTGAGGACAGCTTGCTTTGATTACATAGGATTATTGCGGCGCAGCCCAGAACCTAGGGAAGCCATTGACAACCGCATCCGGCTGGCTTTCGGTTGTCCCCGCACTCAGCCGCACCATCACTGGCGCAACTCGTTGAGAAACAAGCTCAAACGGTCCTTGTCTCGTCGGATCACTTTTGTCGAGGACGCACTTGTACTCGTTAGGGCAACGGCACGACCATGAACGCCTCTGAATTATTCGCCATCGATGTCGGTATATGTCGCCATGGCCCGCCTCCTCCACAGCCCCTGGATGCAGACGTGGCTGCCCTGGCGTGCGATCTGCAGCGCTGCGCGGCGACCAGCGACATGCATGCGGCACGCCAAGCCCTCCAGACATTCAAGGAGCGCTCCCTGGCGCGGCGGCTCCCAAACGCGCCGCTCCTGACGAGCGCGAGCATACAGGCGCTGGCCAAGCAGCTCGACGGCAGCTGCGGGTTTGCAGCCTGCTCGGCGTTCGCACTCCTTCACGCCCTCCTGTGAGCGAAGCACACAGCCGGCTCGCAGCCTCTTACCTTATATGATGAGAGCAGTTTTCTTAAGCAATGCAAGCACAATGAGACAAGTCTGCACGTGACTGTAGCAGCTGCCGCACAAGCAACGTACGGCTCCATGCTGGCCCTGTTTGCTGAGTTGACAAGGGGAACCCGCCTTGCTCGCGCCCTGCGCTGCGCGCCGCCAGGCAACCGCACCACAATGAAGACGAGAGGTGCCTGTACAAGGCCCTGGCACGACCCGCCCCCATGGCTGCCCTCATGTGGCTGCTGGTTGAGGCCACAGGGCCACGCGGGGGCGGCTGGGGCGGCGGCAGCACCGGCGGCGGCTCTGAGGCGCTCTGGCTGGCGGCTGCGACGGAGGCGGACCGCCAGCAGATAGCGCTGTGGGCCGCCACACTGGCCGACTGCGCTATCAGGCTGGCCATCAGTCGTGCTTGCAAAGAGAGGTTGCGCGGCGGCCCAGGCAGCCGAGGCGATTGGCGCGCGGTGGGCGCGCTTGCAGATGCGGTGTGTGGGACGCCTGACGCGTTGGCGGCGTTGGTGGCCGCCGCCGGGCAGGTCGAGTCGCTGCGGCAGCCGGACAGCCCAGTGCACTCGTTGTTTTGGATGCTGATCCGTACTTGGGATCAAAGGGACCCGCCTCGGGTCTTTGTAGAGACAATGGCTGCGGCCGCGACGCAGCTGGAGCCGTGTGCGTGTGAAGCCGCCGCGTTAGCCTGCGGGGCCCTGCGCGCCGAGCCGGCCGGCGGCCGCACCGGCTGGCCCCTGCCCCTGGCGCTGCTGCAGTTGCTCAGTTTCAGCGCCATGGGCACGGCTGCGCTGCTGCGGCTGCCGCCGGGCGAGGGGCTCGAGGCTTTGGTGCCCTTGCTTGTTCTGGGGGAGCGCGGCGACGGTCGCAGCGGCGGCAGCAGCAGAACCGGGGGGAGCGCAGCGCCCCCTGCCCAGCAGGGCGCGCCAGCCGATGCAACAAGAGAGGCGGAGATCCGCTACAACGTCGTTTATGATGTTATCAATATCATCTACACTGTGTTCAAATACAGGGCGCCCCTTGGACAGCAGGGCCAGCAGCCGGGCGGCGCCGGCACTGTGCCGCCCAGCAGGACCCACCAGAGCGCATCCAGCGGGGGCGCTGGCCCCAGGCACGTGTCTGCCGCCGCAGCGGCGCTCACCGGGCCGCTGATTGAGATCGCGGCCGGGCGGGGCGCCGCGGCGGGGTTGCGCGGCAAGCCCAGGTGGTCGGTGGCATGGTTGGCTTTGCAGGCCTTGGAGCAGAGCATCAAGGCGGTGGATGCAGCCAAGCTGGCAGGGGGTGCTGGTGGGCCAGGCTTTGGTGCAGGTGTGGTGGAGCACGAACCCCTGGCCCTCTTCTTGTATCCCGGGTCGGCGGCGTCGCTCGCCTCCGCGCTGCAAGGCGGCCTCGAGGCCGCCGCCCGCAGCGGACGCGGCGACAAGGGCAGAAGCCCCGTCGCCGCGGCCGCCCAGCTGCTTTTTGCCGCCGTCACGGCGCCCCAAAGTCAAGAGCGCTCCTGCTGGTACCGCGAGGCACTCGCGGCGAGGCTGCCGCAGGTGCTGTTGCGCACGGCGGCGCAGCTCTCCACCCAGCAAGACGACCCTGCCAACGCCGCCAGGGCGGCCAGCGCCGCGTGCGTGATGGCGTACGCGGCCGACGATGAGTGTGTGGCTGTCGACACACGGGAAGAAAGGCGTGATGAGGAGGCAAGCGGCGAGCCCGTGTCAGGGATCAGGGCTAGGGCGCTGGAAATGCTCGTGGCGTGCGCCGGCAGCGCCTGCGCGGGCGCGGCACAAACAGCGGTGTTCGGAGCAATGTGCTCTCGTGGTTCTTTGAGCTGCGCTGCGGCCGACTTGGCCGCGCATCCCGGGGCCGCGACCGCCCTTGTGGGCGCTCTCCTGCGCTGCGCGGCTGCGGCGCGGGCTGCTGACCCTGGGGCCAGCCACGAGAGCTGCCGCCTCATGGCGGCCGGGGCAAACATGACTCCTCTTCTGCTGTCACTGATGGCGTGTTGTGCTGTCGGGGAGCCGCATGGTGAGGCCATGGAGGCGGTTTTGCGGCAGCAGCGCCGGCTTGCAGAAGAGGCAGTGCATGTCGCGCGGGGGGACATTGAGGCCGAGCTTGCAGCGGCGGAGGCTGCGCTGCTGCGGCTGGGTGCAGCCGGAGGGCGAGGTGGCGCGCTGGCGGCGGACGCGGCAGCCGCCATGGGCTTCCTGCGGCGCCGCGAGGCGCCGCCGCCACTGCCTGGACCGGGGGCCCTGCTGCAGGCCGGCAGTCGGCGCTGCTTGGCCTGCGGCAAGGGGCGTGGCGGCGGGGTGATACTCAGGCGGTGCAATGGCTGCAGGGCGGAGCGCGTGTTCTACTGCTCTGTGGAGTGGTGAGCCCGGGATGTTGGAGGCGACCCGTCGCCCCTGGCCGGGAGAGAATTGCAATATAAGCGGGGACCGCAGCAACAGAGGACAGGGTATCATGAGGATTTTTGCCAATACCAGGGTCAGTATATCAGCGTTGAGCATTGAGGTGACAGTGGTGACAGTGAGGGGCCGGTGAGCCTGCTGCGGCCAAAGCCAGCCGCACTACAAAACATCAGCGTGCCCGACCCCTCACCACCCTTTCCTTGATGATGTCACCCCTTGCCCTGCGGCCGCACGCGTGTGCCTGTGCCCCGTGCCCCGCAGCCAGCGCGGCCACTGGCATGCCCACAAGGCAGACTGCCGCGCGGCGAAGGGCGGTGCCTGATGATCCAGAAGTCGCGGAGGCTGAGGGTGGGCTGGAGGAGGGCACCCCCATCAAGGGATGTGGCCGTGTTGGCCACAGTGCACCAGGGGGTGGAGTTGGACGGGAGCTGCAATGTATGGCGTGTGTTTGGGGCGGGCGAGTAGTAGCGGTTTTTGGAAACACTCAGGGTGAAGTTGGCGTTCAGGCGCTGCCACTCGCAATGCTGCCTGACCTGCGGTTGTCATGAGACGAGACCGCCGACTGGCGATTGCAACCCCCTGGATTGTCAGTTGCATCGAGTAAGAAGGCAATCGCAGGCTTATGAGAGCACGGTCTGTCTGCGGTCCAAAGAATGATCTTTGATGACAGCTTGCTTTGATTACATCTACAGTGGCTTGCAGCGCAGCCCAGAAAACAATACCCAGGGAATGAGGAAAGCCATTGACAGCCATTTCGGGCTCGCTTTCGGTTGTCACCGCACTCAGTTACACCATCACTGGCGCTACTCGTCTAGAAACAAGCTCAAACGGTCCTTATCTCGTCAGATCACTTTCGTCGAGGATTCACTTGTACTTGTGAGGGCAACGGCACGATCATGGACGCCTCTAATTTACTTACCGTAGAAGTGGGTATAGGTCGCCGTAGCCCGCGACCCCCAGGGCCCCTGGATGCTGACGTGGCTGCCCTGGCGCGCGACCTGCAGCGCTGCACCGTGGCCAGCGACATGCATGCGGCACGCGAAGCCCTCCAGGCATTCGAGGAGCGCTCCCTGGTACGGCAGTTGCCAAACACGCCGCTGCTGACGCGTGCCAGCATATAGGCGCTGGTCGAGCAGCTCGACGGCAGCTGCGGGTTTGCAGCCTGCTCGGCGCTGGCCTTCCTTCTCGGCCTCCTGTGAGCAAAGCGCACGGCCGGCTCGCAGCCTGTTGTGTGAAATAGCACGATCAGCTGCTTCTTGCCGGTGCAAAATGATCCTTACAAGTCTGAATCTTATAACCGCAGCTGCTGCGTGAGTAACAGCTCCGCTGACCTTGCAGTGCCCGCAAGCGGACAACGCCCTTGCCCGCGCCCTGCTTTCCGCGCCGCCAGGCACCCGCTACAAACTGAAGACGGGACGTGCTTTTACGAAGCCCTGGCGCGGCCCGCCCCCATGGCTGCCCTCATGTGGCTGCTGGTTGAGGCCACAGGGCCACGCGGGGATGGCAGAGGCGGCGGCGGCGGCGGCGGCTCTGAGCCGCTCTGGCTGGCAGCTGCGACGCAGAGGGACCGCCGGGGGATAGCGGTGCTGGCCGCCACGCTGGCGGATGGCGCAATGAAGTTTGTAAGCATTCGTGCTTCGAACGCGGGGGGCAGTGACGATGCGGACAACAAGCAGCGGCGGCGCTCCGCCGTCGCGCTCGCCGAGGCGTTCTGTGCCGCGCCCGGAGCCGTGGCGGCCTTGATTGCCGCCGCCACGAGCGAGGAGCTGCTGCGGCGGCCGGACGGCCCTGCCTTCGGGTTGTTTTGGCTGGTGAGCCACATTGGGCAGACTGTGGCGCCACTGAGGGTCTCGGAAGAGCTGACGGCTTGCGTCGCCTCGCAGCTGGAGCCGTGCGCGGCTGAAGCCGCCGCGCTAGCCTGCCAGGCCCTGCGGGCCGAGGCGGCCAGCGGTCGCAACGGCTGCATGAATCCCTTGGGGCTGCTGCTGCTG